AACAGCTTGATTCTTAAGATCCGTGCTTGACCGCAGGTTTTCCCTGTGACAGCACAGAGTTTTACAAAATATAGAATACCGATATCAAGATGGATCCTTTTCGCTCTGATTCAGCTTTTACTGAGATTTGTGCAGTCTTTTTATTGCTTGGTTGGGAGTTGATTCAGGTCCTTTGGTGCTTTTTCTCTCTGGTCTGATTTCAGAGACACTGAGTCACTGAGAAAATCGAAGGAGCAGCAGACACGAAGCTGCCCACTTAAAACGTAGCAATACTCTTGATGACTCCTGAATTTGTAAATACGTGGGCAGCAGGCCGTGAGTCTGTGTCAAGTTTGTCATGCATGTTGAAGTTCCTGATAGCGTGTATAAGCCTCACAGAGACCAGATTGCTAATAGCATATAAAAATGCACTTTCTAGATACCTCAGGGCTTTTCTAATTTTAAGAAATACTTTGATACTGTTTCATGTGAAATTTTCTTGAGTAGTAAGCTGAAGGGCTTATGGTACATCACCGTCTGATAACTAGTTTAAGCCCAGGTAGTTGTTTCCAGTCAGTTATAGATCACAGAGATTACAGCTCAAAAGCATGAAGGGACAAACTGGCATACTTTTCATACTAACTTTAAGCTTACAGATGGGACAGAATTATCTGTATAATGGAAAAAAGAAAGTCAGGATCTTAGTAAAAATATGTTGCCCCTATAATAGTGAGGGGAATCATCTAAACTCCTTTCCATTAGACTGTGATAAGTCTGAGAGTGCATATGACCAGGAGAAAAAAAAATTCTGTGGCTCCTGATTCCCTGTGTTCCCTGTGTTCTCCATTGTAAGAGAAACTCTAGGATGAAATTTCTAGTCAACACTAGGGGAAGAGGACGGAAGTACTCACCCCAGAACAGTAAAATAGCGTGGCAGTCAGGAGGCATCTTGAAGCTGGGAAAACCAAATCCAGATGTATGTTCTGCCTAGTTTAGACCGGAGGGATAAAATTGTTTCTCCACCTTCCCATGCAAGTTCCTTAGTCCCAGAGCTGCTGTTCTACCGCTGTTGCTTCTCATGAAAACCTTTGGAAGATCTGCTTTTGTTATTGCAGAACAGAAGCCCTTTGCAAGGCTAAAAGGTTCACAGGACAAGAGATCATTTCCTGGCCAGCTTGCTAAATGTTCTGCTTTCTGCTTATGAGCTTCCTTGGCAGCTATGTTCCAGGCAAACCGTTTCCCTCTGCAGCAGAGGTTTTTGTGAGCACAGTTCTTTCATAAATGCTTGGATTTCCCTTCTAGAACTTAGTCCCATGCTAGCTAAGAATGACTGCTTCCCCCATCGCTTTCAGAACTAAGTACAAAATGTAATTTTTTTAATTCAGCTGTACTTCAATAAATGTTTCTTGTGCACAGTCATCCTACTGCATATTCACACATACTAATATAAACAAAAAAGCATAAGCTAGCAAAACCTACACATGCATCCAAATGTTTTTCCATGCAGCTTGTAAAAGGAGGAAGAAAGAAAAAGATTATTCTTTCCATATTCACAGTAGGTGAACTCTTGACACTGATTGCAGTGGCCCTAGATTTTACCATGGAAATGGGCTGTAAAAATTGAGCTGAAGGCAGCTACTCTAAAACTATCAGAATGGAAATATAAAGTGCACAGTCACTGCTAGGTTTTTTAATGCTGGTAATTTCTCCACTGATATGAAAAGTTATGAAAAATTATTTCTCCCCCATTAGGTATTGCTTGGTTAATTGCGTAGTCATGAGAGCAGAGGCTATGTGTGATTTTAATGAGGGTACAGTACAGAAATGAATGGAAACTAATGCTTTAAAGCAAGAATTTTCTGAGTTATAATGTATTTATAGATTAACTTGATTTGATGTTACTCGAGCTGCTCACAGTGATGTGATTTCACTAGTGACTAACATGTTTCAGCCATCTCCTGGGGGAATAGGTGCAGGGGCTCTCTGATCAAGGGCTGTGAAATCTTCCCCATTCAGGACTCGGCGTTGGTCCAGAGCAGTATGGTGTGTTGAACACTGACAGGTCATCCCTGGTCTGTAATCACTTTACTCTGGACAATTATTTTCTCTCTGAGTTGCCTTTGTTAGGAGGATGAACAGAAGCCACGGATGAAACTTAGCGTGTCTCCCATAGTACTTTCTCATCTTTGAGACTCCTTCCCACATTGCAGCCTAGGGCACGCTAGTGAAAGGGTACGTAAGAAAGTTGTTTGCTGTACCAGTTCTGTTGATTGAGCAGTAAGTTGATTGAAAGTAAAGGTTCAGGAAAGGTAATTCCAGGGCTGTGAAGACTTAAAATTTTATTGCGATCCTTACAATTTGTGATAGGAAGTGGACAGGCTTTTGCGTTTGGTTTTTGCCTTCAAAATCCTACTCCTCCATTAAATAAGTAAATAAAAGTCTCGGTTCTCATTTAAAAATATGTATTATGAGATTAATATGTACTCACTTTTTAAAACTTATGATTTTAAATTGGTTGGTGTTTTTGATGGCTTGGAGTGGCAGTTTTACAGTGACACCTGGTGAGCGCTCACTAGAATATGTTCACATTACTCCATGTCATGACTGTATTCAGGATTGTCTTCTATCTATTTTAAGACTATGTGCATGAATCTGCAATAGTAAAATTGCAGTCCTGCTGTGTTTTACATTATACTTGTTTGGCAAGGTTTTCAGTATGTTTTTAATATTCAATTTCTTTACATTGCAGTGCATGCCTCTGAAACTATCTACCTGTTCACAAAGATAATCCATTTCCAATTTTTTTTACAGTGTTTCCCATAAGCTCTTAAGTTTTATTCTGATATTGTTCTCTGCATTTAGAAATATTTATTGTGATAATTTTATGTCCATAAAGCAGAGGAAATTCTGGTTATGGCCCAGGATAAGCTTTACAGACTTGTTTTGGTTGTTTTAGAAAACTGTTAGCTCTCCGTATTTTCCAGATACAAAATAATAATTGATTCAAATTTTCCTGCTTACAGATAACATTACTGGGCATTTGGGGGGTAGCTCTGCAGTGTTTTTCAAGTCTAAGTAGCATTTATTACCTTGCCTTTGCTTACAATGCTAAAAGAAGATAATACAGAATGGTCATTTCTGCCATTCAGCTGAATAAGAAGCAGTGGCCAGCAGAGCTTGCTGAATAACAAATATGAATAGCTCAGATATTGAGTAAGATCTTATAAAATGAATTTCAAACAGATCTTAAAACCAAGGTTGCGTTAAAAGAAAAAAAAAAAAAAGGCAGACCAATTCCTCAGCAGACTAGACACACAATGTAGTTTCTCGCTGTAAACATGAAGGTGCCGATGACTGATACTGGTGACTAAGTGAAAAATCTAATGGTGTTTTCTTTGCTTGTTCACATAAATACATTACTTCCCCAAGGCAAGTAAGCATTTGGAAATTTTGGAAGTTTCGCTTCAATGGAAATTAGTAGCTTCTCTGGCAACTGCTACCTAGAAAATACATTTGAAAGTGATACTATAGTATGAAATAAGTAGCATGAAGTAATGCAGTTATATATGTCTTCATGTTATGAGGAGGCATTGATTAAGGATGGTGCACCTTTTTTATTTCATACGTCGTTAGTCAACTTCTGGGGGTAGTACTCTAGAAACAGGACCGTGTTTCTTTTTAGACAACCTCCTTGGTAGAGAAGTGCTTCTCTATACCATCCATCCTTGACAAGATGATGGCCAAATTAATTAACCAAATGTTTTGTCTTGTCTTCCAGCAGTATGAGTGTATTTAAGATCAAGGTTGAAATCAGTCATTTATTATTGTATGCCAACTCTTATTATTGCTTATTGCCAACGACACACCTATGTAGGAAAACTAAGGTGTGAGTTTTGACATAAGAAAGACTTTGTTCTGGCTTACATACCTCCAGAACGATGGCAGTAGCATTGAAGACACAAGCATGTCTAGCCTAAGTAAGGGCCAGAAACCAGGCTAAGTCCCGAGGGAGTTTTTGTGCTGGATGCTGCACCTAAAACATGAGTTTAAGTATTGTCAAAGGCTGCAGTGTGTAGTGTAGAGATAACACAGAAGTTAAAGTAGCTCATGTAAATAAAGCTTTCAGTGCTGTACAGACTTCTACAGTTAGAAATGAAAGCTTTGCACCCTTTACAGAGCACTGTGGTGCCCCACTGAGTGAGTGTTTCTGTGATACAATCATATCTCCGTTTTGCAGTGTAGGAGTACGATAAGGGCTGACAGGAGGGTGGGGCACTTGCCATGATGCTTTTAACTGAACAGGTACAAGTATTCATCACGTTGTAAAATTCTGAAATTGTTCTTCATTATCTCATTCTTTCCTGCTGCTGCTTATGTTAGGACTTCAACCTGCAAAAGCACTTGGTCCTAAGTCGGTTTTAGGGTAAAGATGCTGAAAGAAAAAACGTGCTGACAACAAAAGCAAGATCACTGTTGTTGTTTGGGTTTTTTTGGTTGGTTGGTTGGTTTCGTTTAGGTTTTTTGTTTGGTTTGTTTGTTGTTTTGTTTTGTTTTTTTTTTTTAAATATCTATAGGCTTGCACTCACTAGGAAAAAGATAATGATTCTTTTCTTGCTGGTGTTCCAGAACAGTCATGGAAGCCCACAGGAACACTTTCTGTCCTGTTGCTTATTGAGCAGTCTTTGAAACAACTGAAGTGTTGCTGTTTTCTAAAATCTGAAGGACTAAAAAGGCCGACAACATGGCTGCAACTTGAAGTCCCAGTGCTACCTAAATGTTTAAGATGTGTAAGAAGAGTACAGATACATCTAAAGAGTGGAAGCCTGTGACAAGACCGTGCTTACCCTCAGGAGCAGCAATCAGATTTAGAGGAGGTGTGGAAAATAAAAATGTAGAGCTCCATGTAACAGCTATCAAATAACAGATATTGCAGTATCAATATCTAACAAACGTACCACTAAGAGGTGTTAGAACTGCACGTCCACATGCATTGCATCGCCTTTGTGCTTACTTTCCTGTAGGGGGTTATCCTCTGAAGGATGAGGAGTGCAGAGAAGCTACGCATGTAGCTACGGTTTTAGAATTGCTGCAGTCTAGCTTTCTTTTCATGCTCCTTAGGGGGAGAAAATGAGTTGTAAATGAGATCGGGCTATTTATGCTTTATGTAAGTTTCAGGAAGTTAAGTAGTGAATCAAACTAATGTTGTCCTTAACTTGAATATGTTTATCTCCTCATTAACAGGAGTTCAGATATGACTGCTCAGGAAGAGGGAAGTGTTTTCTTGTAGGATATGTAGAAAATGTGTTAAGATTCTATAATTTAATTGTGAGATTCTGTAATTTAGTTGTGAGCTAACACATTCTTTTTAACAAATGAACGTAAATCAAATATTTTCACAAAGTTAAGAAGTGTAACAACAAATTCTACAACAGTCCACATTTCATGACTGATGAAATCGGAATAAGTTTCGAGATTGCCTGGAAAACTGCCATACTGTTTCCATCGTACTTAAAAGGTGATAGCTAAGAAGTGAAAAGGTGTCACCAGCTGTGGTAAGCAGAAGATGATATGCAGAGTGCGCAAGTGCATTTACTAGTGATTTTTTTTTATTTTTCTGTTAACAAATGTAAGGAAGTTTTTCATTTGTGTGTGTTTACATATAAAACACATATGCTTTCTGTAATAGCCCTCTTCCCCCCCTTTTCTTTTTCCAGAGTCAAGATGACAGATTTGCTTTCACTGCTGAATGGTATGACCCAAATGCTTCACTCTTCCGGCGTTATGAACTTCTGTATTATCCAAAAGATGGATCAGTTGAAATGGTAAGAATAAAAGAAAAAAAAATCTATTGTCATAAGTGTAATATCCAATTAAACAGTTTGTAAAACGGCAAGCCACTGCTTATGCCTATTAATTTTCCAGGTAAGGAAAATGTAGTTTAAGACGTATCTTGCTCTGTTTCTAAAACTAACAGAAAAGCAAAAATACAAGTTCACAGTGAAGCATGGTTTGTTTTTTTTTCTTAAAGCTTGCTTTGGCGTAGAGAGATTAATTTTCACAAATCTGTTTTCATTCAATCTCTACTTGGGTTTCAGAATTGAAACTCAGCAACACCTACCTACTGCTTGAGAAACATAAACTGAAGCTGATTCCAAACAGGGGAAAAAGCTTCAGCAGGCTCTGAAGAGTAAAATGTAAAAGAGTCTTATCAAAGTAGAGGAAATGGTAAATTGCTCTTAATTTGGTTTTAATGAAAGGAAGGATGTTTCAGACAGTGGGATCTAAATTTTTCCATCACTGATGCTTGCACAGACCTTTCTGACTTGTGGTTCATATAACTAATCCCCATTGTTTATTGATAGCAGGTTAAAACAAGCGTTTTGCAGTAGCAGGCATATATATAAAAATGTAATATGTACTGTAAAAATAATCCTAATAAACCAACCAATGCTTTGTGCTTCCTTTTAGGAATCAGTGAATGGTTTGGACTAGTCTTTTCCAATTTTTAATGAAGACCTAAGGGTCTGAGAATAGCCTAGATTTGGATATTTGCTTACACTTAGTAACTTCATTATCAAATTTTAGTTTTCCTGCTGTAAATATCAAATGCAGAAATAAGAAAGCTGGTGGAATCTGCCTTTTCTTACCCAAACTACTGCTCACTGAAACCATGGTACCCATCTGTGTGAGAAGATGCACTTTGCACTTTTTACTGGTAATCTCTTTAAACAAACTCTATCATGGTGTTCTCCCTTTTAAGTTAGTTCTTTGTATGATGTCTGTTTGCACAGTTGTCAAATTGTGAGGATTTTTATTTTTTATTTCCCAGAGACAGTTTAGCTAATCAGTCAGGAGCCGTAATAATCTTCCTACACAACCATGTGTAGGCTGGCAAAGTTGTTGTTCATTTCACCTAGACGTCTCAAAACCAAGAGCTTTCAAGGTGTTCTTGAGCTGCTTAATGCATTCAGCATCAAATACCTATGGCTTGGTAGACTTTTGCATTTTGCTGGTCTGCTCTTAGGTTAAGATAGTATGGTGTGTACACAGTCACGAGTGTATACGGACTGTGTGTGATCAGGACAGGAGTTAAACAAGCAAAAATGCATGTAACACCTCTATAGAAAGAATACCTCAAAATCACTTTTGGGGGTGAGTTTGTGGTCAGAGATTAAATTTAGAATTCTCTTCTGGATTATTTTTTTTAATTTCTGTAGAATTTGGTGATTCTTTCTTTATTATTGCCTAATTCTTCTGCATCTTTTGGTATCTTCCTGAGGAGATGACAGCCCGCTCTTGCCTCTGACGTATCTGAGGAGAAGGGAGGTAATGGATACGTGTCAGCTTCTCCTTGCTTATGACAAAGATGTTTCACCCCCTTTCCCACCTCCCTGACAATAGCTCTCCTTTATCACACACCTCAGCTGAGGGTGGAGCAGAGCTGTTGAAAGCTTGTGTTATGTGAAGTCCTCAGCTTTCCTCTTTCTCAGTCCTTCATGTCTTGGTTCCTGTGAAGAAAAACAGCAGTGGGAATAATGAGACAAGTTTCCAGCTTGCTTTGCAGCTGGAAGAGGGCAGCGTAGGTTTTTGTCCAAGGACAGCATCTCTTCATAGAATCATAGAATCGTCAAGGTTGGAAAAGACCCTTAAGATCATCGAGTCCAACCATTAACCTATCACTGCCAAGTCCATCTATACCGTGTCCTCGAGCACCACATCTATCTGTTCTTTAAAT